TAGATCAGGGGACAAGAAACAAGAAGAGAGAAACGAGAGAAGGGAAAGAGAGTTGGAGGGAAAAGGTGGAGGGTACAAAGGAGCGAGTGAGAAGGAAGACAAGCTGGTGGTGAGGTTGATAATGCTGCTGCTGCTGCTGCTGCTGCTGCTGCTGCTGCTGCTGCTGCTGCTGCTGATGATGATGATGATGATGATGATGACGACGACGATGACGACGATACCGCCTAAAGAGGATGATGCTGATGAAGACAATGCCGATGAAGAAGACTTCAACAATCATGACGATACCTCCTAAGGATGATGATGCTGATGAAGACAATGTTGATGATTACACCTCCCTGCAAATGCAGAATTTCTCATGACGGAGGAAGCGAAACGGCCAACCAGCGGACGACGAACTCAGAACAATGACCTCTGACTTAGTAACTCCCGTCAATCCTCCTCCCACCCCATCAGACACACTCTGCTCTTCTCCTTCTTGCGCCGCGCCGACCCCCTCCACCCAAATTAGCAAGATGAAGAGCGTGAGTGATCACTCCTGAAGCAAAGCTTCGAAAGAAAGCTTCACTCCCCTCCATATGGCATGCTGACCCACAGCATCGCTCACATGAAGCACAAAGCGGAGAGATGGCACCTGTGGTGCTTTCAAAAGACAGGAAATAGTAAGTAAAGTGGTGTAAGCATATTGTTGTCATCCACTTTCCGTTTTCAAAACTCCTGAAGATTTAGCCCATTCGCCGACAGTTAACGCCTACTCCATTCCTATCAAACGTTGCCGCCTCGTCAGTGATGATGTGTTGGCGGGACGAAGCTCGCGCTAGCATGCCACGCGTGCATCCTTGGCATCTCACGCACTCCCACCAGCCACAGTAGCAAGCAACACGAGATGCCTGCGCCCATTCAGCCAGCGCGTGCTTGAGCCGCCATGGAAACTCACCCAACCTGCCAGCAGCACACCTTGCGAACCAACCACGACCGCGCACCCCCCCGGAAGCGCGCGCCCAAATCAGCATCAGCACTCACGACGCGCGCGCACGTGCACCYGATACTTCCATGGAGATAGCGCTAACGCGCGCCCAGTCAGTCTGCTTGGTGTTCTCCTTGCACATTTTCATATCAAGACTTGATATAGCACACGTGAACTGCCTCGGAGAGAAATTACCAAGGGTAGTGAGCGTGCTTTGGCGTCCTCATTGACTGTTGTTTTTGGAGGACGCGTAGTTTGCAACGATGGGCGATAGATGGGATCATGATCGGCGAGATACACGTGCGGGAAGCGAAGAGCGTGGAAATAGTCGAAGCTCCGATCGAAACTATGAGCGAGGTGGGGATCGATATTATCGACGTTCATCGCCAAGGTGCTTTACCTGTAACGAGCGTGGCCATTTTGCAAATCAGTGCAGAAATCGCCGGCGTGCAACTGAAGGGCGCCTGTCAACTTCCTACGATGCGCCAGGAGGACATTTGACATCTCCTCAGAGGTCTAAAAAGACTGAGCTAGGCCAATCGTCGGCACAGGCTCCTGAACTGCAGCGTCAGATCGAAGAGCTAGGAAAGAATCTAGCATCGGTATCAGAGTTCGTCCAGAACGAAATGGCGAAGAAGGTGGAAGAGGAACGCATGAAGAAGGAAGAAGAGGAGGAAGAGCAACGAAAGGCACATGAGAGAATGAAACGAGAGAAGAAGGATCGGAAGAGGATGGAGATGTTACGAAAAGAAGAGGAACGTGTTGCTGAAATTGAGAAGCGAGTGGAACTGCGGGTGGCGATTAAGACTGGCGAGTTTTTCGATCGGATGGAAGCGAACTTTGGACCTGTTATTACTATGGCTCGTAAGAAGAAAGGCAAGAAGCAAGTTGTATGCGTGTCTGACCAAGGCTCAAGTTCTGAAAGCGGAAGTGGGGAGAAGTCTACTAGGGAGATTAGATCGAAGGCAAAGAAACTCGTGATTAGCGAGAAACGCATTGCCAAGAGAGGACTGGAGATGGTCTTTGAAGGCAGCCCTGCGAAGTGGGCGCCGAGGACGGCAAAGCACAAAGTAGCTACAGGCACAATACGGGTTACCTGTTCGAAGGCGAAAGTCAAGTTAAACTCTCCCCGTACATGGAGAAAGCGAAGAAAAGTCCGGGTGAGCATGGTACGATAGCTAAACTTCGTCACCGAAATCAGGCGATGGAGGAACTACGGGGGCTCAACGCACAAGAACTCCAAGCGATCTGTAAGGATGAAGGGATCGCTTACAATGGTAAGGTGGATGCCATATTTGACATTGCCAGCCATCGAACACGGAAAGCCTTCGGTGAAGTGGAGCCCATTGACTTGTCTGTCGCCATTGGTGAAGCTGAAGATGATTCGGTGACGGTCAATGAGGAAGAGGACATGAGTGATTGCTGAGAAGGATACGGAACCGACAAGATATGGCGAATCGTCCGAAGGTTAACAAGTTTTCGCTGCAGCCATGATTACATGAACAAGGATGCTGAGCAGCTCCTTCGACTAGTATGTGTGATACTGCTTTCGGTTAGAGGTGAAATCTGCTGGACTAAAAAGTTGTTGGGCTGTTGGAAGAGACTTTATCAACTGCATGGTGATGATTGATTGAATAAGAAAGGCTGTGTGTATGTTGTTGTCTCCCCGTACTGTAAGTTACAATATGTAGGGAAGAGTACTCGTAATGTAGACATTAGATGGCGCGAACATCTTGCCGTGTGTCGCAAGAGGAAGCAGTCCCATTTCCATCGCTGGCTGTGCTTTTTCGGGAAAGGTAACTATGTGCTGTTGGAACCTCGGGGTTGCCGTACTATTTGACCTATCGAATTTGGTCAGGCCGAAGCGGAGTCCACTACGTTGGATCTTTTGGGACTACTTACCGCCCAAGCGGATTCGGGGAAGTATCAGTTTTCAATTGTTGTCCGACGTTTATGCTTGGGGACGTAAGTCTGTAACTCGGTTGTACAATTCAATTAAGGACTTTCGAAAGTAGTCAACACGAAAGTACCTTAGACGGCTATTATCTCGTATGATCCGTGAGAAGTTTGGATTTAGTACGTCTGCTTGGTTGAGCTACATAAGATTATTAACGACAAGATTATGTCTTGTGACTTACCTATGTGTTTCCGGAAGCGTGCACGGAAGACGATCTGAATCGTCTGGGTTAAAAACCAGTCGATAGGTGGCATTCTTCATAATCAATGAGCTTTTGCGGCTCGTGAGATACTTACCTCCGATGGTGCAGGGTTGGCCTACCCGCGATCGGGTGGCCATGTATGCTTCCGGCTTAACCAAGGTTTGCCACATCATCGTATCCTGGCAAATGCCAACGACATCCCGAAAGCAGATGTCTGCGACCGTGTAGGTTTGCTACAACATGAGTTGGTTGAAGGGTTTACTAAATGGGTGAACCTAAAGGGACCTTGTCCGACATTTTCCAGGGACCGTCTAGCAGGGTGTATTTTGGATAGTGGAACTAAGGATAGCAGGCTTTTGCTGTCTAATGTTATTTAGGTTAAGGATGAGCTCAATGGTTTGGTTTTGACCCCGTTGGATACGAACCCCGGCAACACTTTGGTGTTGTGCCCTCTCATCTACTATAGGGCTATGATGGACATGTTTGTACTCAACCCCGGGAATCGTATTATTCAACCTTTTGCGAAAGAAATCGTGAGGGAGTGTGACGAACCAATTTCCGCACCACGCGATTTTCTGCGCGGTAGCGACGAGGGGTCCTAAGCAGGGAAGGATGGGCCAACTACGGGAGATCGGAATGGTTGGGAAATTGCATTGGTGTCCTTGCTTTTTCGTCTTTTTGCGTCGTTTCTCTTCGGATGGCTGGGTTCAGGCCCAAGTGTTTCCCGGGATGATCGATTGATTGATTGGCTGTGTGAGTGGCGCGCCGTCGTGCGCGCGAATAATAAATGTTGACGTCACTTCTTTTGTTTCGGTTTTGGACTTTTGGGCGTGGACACCGCGCGGGAATTTTGCTTCGATTTTGAACTTTCTTTTTGAATTCTTTCGCAGATCTTGTCGAGCCCTCATGGCTCCCGGAATTTCATACTTTCTTTTCGGAGTTTATGCTTTTTGCTTTTTCGCATTAGATAGGAATTTAGGAATTTTACAATTAGGATTTTCTTTTGTCGCGCGGCACTTTTTGTCTACGCGCTTCTCCGTGCGGCTGCAACGAAACTCTGATTAGTCGGCGCCCTTAATCGAGAGTGTAACTGTAATTTTGGGCGGGCACCAATGTAACTGTATCCTTTCTTCTTCTGCTTCATCTTTCCCGCTCTCGCTTTCTCTTGCTGTGTCTAGCCAGCCCACGGGCTGCATGATCGGATCGATGCGTGGAGAGAGGCTACGTCCCTCACGTTGCGGCCCGACCATGCGGAGCGCAGGCGCTCCTTCCCCTGATCTCCTTCTAAGTCCTTGCAAATCCGTGTTCTTCACTTATGCATGCACGCTATAAATTACGGCTGCGCGATTAGATAGCTCTCTTAACCAGCTGTTGGAAGCTCAGGGTAGCACGATCAGTGAGGGTCGGCTCATGAACGAAGTAAGAGGTGAGTTGAAGTGGGAGTCGGGCGACCCTACGAGCTGGTGCCGAACGCGCGGGGTTGACGTGGGCCACGACGGACTATGGGCACGGGCGAACCTGACGGGTGCGGGAGGACTAAGCGTGGTGACGACTTCTTGGGTTGGTGCGCGACGACGGACTGTCCGCATCGGAGAGGGAGAGAGAGGAGAGGGAGCTGAGGTTGATGGACGTGGATTTGTTGTTTCTTTTGTTTTTCCTCCCTCCTTGCTTTTGTATATAAGTTTTGATATCGGTTCAGGGCGATTCGCCCGTTTTTGTTGTTGGAATTTTGTTTTCGGAAACTTGGCTTGGTTTCCTTTCGCCCACACTCGTTTTTGCAATTTCGATCTTGGTTATTGTGTGCCATGATTGAATGAATGGATGAATGGACATCATGTTTGTTGCTTCCTTATGCCTGATCCTTGCTTTTGCTTGTCGATTTTGATACACTCATAAGCATAGTAGGAAAATTCGCACGGTTCTAGCTATTGATGTTTACCCTTTTTGGATCTGCTATTGTTGCGGCAATTGTGTGGTTGCACTTTGCATATTCCGAAATAATTGCATATGGATCACAGAGTGATTAGATGATTGTGTAGTTGTTTGTCCTGGGACAAGTGAATACCGCGCGGGGATGCGTGTAAGCGCGATCTAATCTGCGCACTTGCACAGGTTCACGCGCATCGGTTCGTAAACACCCATGCATGAGAGGGTTAACGATTGTGGGAATAGTGACGAAGTGGATGTGTCCAGTGACCATTCTGCATCTGCAACGAAGCAATCATCCTATGGGAACACGTGTAAGCGCAACCCAGTCCGCACAGCCTACACGTACTCACACGAGGTGATCGCAATCGTCGAATATCGGGACCGACACGAAATTTCTGAACGTCGAGCTCGGAAATTCCCCAGCCAGGCCAACACGCGCTAAGGAATTCCGCGACTCTACGATGACATAATGACATGCTCCAGGAGCTCAGATTCGTCGTATGACCCGGAGTACTTCACTCCTTGGATTGAGGAGTGTCTCCGACAAAGGTTCCCCTGCCTAATTGAGAACCGACTGTGTCCTCGGGAGTTCCATTGTGCCACGACCAGCGATCCGCGGTGCCCGGATTTCCCCACTTTGGACCACACGCACTACTTTATCTCCCCTGGGTTTGTCGTTATCTCCACTAACTTCCCTCCCTTTCGTCTTCTTCTCCCGTATCGTCAACTCAAGGTCGTCCCGTGGCCCAGCACGACCTGCGGAAATTGCCGACCACGCGGCAATCAGAGAACCCCGGAAACAAGGGGGCCTAACCCCAACACCTATGAAACACCCGCGGACGTGTCCGGGGGGCCGAGCTCGGAGGGCGGACGTATTCACGGCCGCCTCCGCGGCTTACGGAGTCTGCGCCGCGGACCCGATTTTACCAGATTTTTCCTGAATTAAATAATAGCCCCCCCAAAAAAAAAATTATGGCGTTGTAGGGAATTTTATGCCCTACAACCTTGTTTTTTTTTTTTTGGAATCCGACTTTGTTTAGGATTTTTAAAAAATCAAAAACTAAATTCGATTTAAAGAAAATTAAAAAAACAAACATAAAGAAAAGCTGGAATTTTTTTTTTGTCATTTTTTATCATCAGATATATGGTCCCTGAGTTCACCTGTCTTTTTTCGAAATGAATTTCTATTTTTTGGAGGGGTATGAGGTGTTTTAGAAAAATAAAGATGCAAAATTTGAAAATAAATAACCAAAAAACTTGAAAAAAAAAAAGGTTTGATTGATTGATTGATATTGATTGATTGATTGATTGATTGATTGATTGATTGTGAGTGAGTGAGTGAGTGAGTGAGTGTGTGTGTGTGTGTGTGTTTGTGTGTGTGTGTGTGTGTGTGTGTTTGTGTGTGTGTGTGTGTGTGTGTGT